CCGACCTGGAACTTGAACTCTGGGCCTGGGTGCTGTCCCTGAGCTTCTTTTGCTCAAGGCAAGCACTCTACCACTTGCGTCACAGTCCCACTTCCCGTTTCCTGGTGGTTAATTGGAAATAAGAGTCTCACAGACTTTCCTGCCCAGGCTGGCTCTGAACCATGATCCTCAGATCTCAGCCTCATGAGTGGCTAGAGTTACAGGTGTGAGCCACTGGTACCTGGCTAAACTAAGTCTTGAAGAACTGGGGCAATGGCTTAATGGTAAAGTGCTTGCCTACCATTTGCAAGACCCTAGATTTAGTCCTCAGCCCTGCAGAAAAATAAATAAGTGAATGAACTAGTTGAACTCAGTGGTTCCTGTCTGTAATCCCAGCTACTCAGGAGGCAGAGGTCAGGAGTATTGGGGTTTTTGAGGCTAGCCTGAGGAAAAACACAAGAGTCTACCTGAAAATAAAAAATAAGGCTGAAGGTGTAGCTCAAATTTTTTAGGCTTAGCAGTCAAATCCCAGTACCTACCCACTCCGCATAGCAAGCAATGTTTGGAATGACTGTTAAGGAGTGTGTATTTACTTCTCAGTTTTCTCTGAAGTAGACTAGAAGGTGAGTTGACAACACTCAAAACCTGAATAAGGGACAGGTGCCTGTGACTCACGCCTGTAATCCTAGCTAATCAGGAGGCTGAGATCTGAGGATCGTGGTTCAAAGCCAGCCTGGGCAAGACAGTCTGTGAGCCTTTATTTCCAATTAACCACCAGAAAACTGGAAGTGGCGCTGTGGTGTAAAGTGGTAGAGCACTGGCCTTGAACAAAGGAGCTCAGGGACAGTGCCCAGGCCCTGAGTTCAAGCCCCATATGGACCAAAAAAAAAAAAAAAAAGAGAGAGATGAGCTTAATAGATGAAGACTATCTCAGGAAGGAGAGCAAAAGTCAAAGATAACAGGCTCACGCCAGGTGATGACTGCCTGTTTCTGATTGTTCTGACTGAGACGTCTCATGGTGGCCACTTCTGCATGCCTGAGAAACTGCACTGAGCTCTGGGGCCAGGATTGCACTGTGGCTGTGTGAGTCCTTTCCACCAGAGCCCAGCTTTTCTTTCTTCTTGTTCTTTTGATCTTTTTCTCTCTTTTTCCTTTTTCTTTTGACAGTACTGGAATTTGAAGTTAAAGCTTCATACTTAGTAGGCAAGCACTCTACCACTCTACCCAGTTCTTTTGTGCTTAGGCTATATTCAAGAGAGGGTCTTGATTTATGTCCAGGCTGTGGTCCTCCTATTTGTGCTTCCCTTATTGGCCACACTGACAGCCATGTGCTCCCTTGCCCACCCCCAGTTTTCCTCCCGTAGCTTGTCGTGGTAAGTGTGTACCATCACACCCAACCATTGGTAGAGATGAGGTCTTAACGAACTTTTCCGTCTGGGCTGGCCTCAAACTACAGTCCCTGGACCTCTGCCTCCCAAGTAGGTAGTAGTACAGGCTTGAGCCTCCACACCCAGTGTCTAGTTTTTCTTTTGCTTCTGGAGTTGTCGGTTGTGATATGGGCCTCATGTCGCTCACGGTTGCTGTCTTGACCTGCACATGGGCTGGCACCGCACTGCACAGGTGACCTCTGTGCTGCTAGCAGTAGTGCTGGTGCTCAGCCTGCCCCTCTGCAGGTGGGTGTGTGTAGAGCATAGAGCTTGGTTTGAATGCTCTTATGCTTTCATTGCGTAAAAGACAATTGAGGTAGTTTTTGAGTTTGTGAAGCGTCATATGAAACTGGGCCTTTTGCCTCTTAGCAAAGGTGTTTCATCAGCCACCCTACTGTGAGAAACAGCATGGTCTGCAGCAGTGACTTTCTCATTCCACCCTGCAACCAGGAAGTTTGTATTTCTTGTACGAGGAAAAAAATAGTATAAACTTGCCAAAAATGTGTTATTTCTCTGAAATATATTTCTCAGGAGGTGTTCTTGAGCATTAGCTGTATGAGGATAGATGAGTACCTGATTGAACTTATGTCAGGTGTGTGTGCCTGTGCATGTGTGCCTCTGTATATGTGGTGGTACAAAGGCAGGTTTTTTTCTGAACCATGAAGTTCAGATATCTGCTTGTGTGGCCGGGGTGTTCAGATGTCTGCCTGCCTGTGTGGCCATGGCTGTATGTAGGTTCTGAAATGCACTGACAAATAGCGGACATTTCAAAGTACAAAGGTCGCTCATCTGACTACAGCAGGTACTTTTGTCTGTCAACGAACCTGAGTAAAATGGATTTCAGTCAAAACTTCTCTAGTTAAAAGAATAAAAAAAGTTCAGCTGGGCACTGGTGGCTCATGCCTGTAATCCTAGATGAGATCTGAGGGTCCAGACCAGGCAGGAAAGTCTGTGAGATTATCTCCAATTAATCACTGGCAAACCAGGAGTGGAACCATGGCCTAAAGTGGTAGTGCACTAGCCCTGAGCTAAAGGAACTCAAGAACAGGCCTCAGGCCCTGAGTTCATGCCCCACAACACACAGAAAAATAAAATAAATAACACTGGACATTATTCTTTTTCTATTTTTTGGGGGGTGCTCGAAGTGGAGCCTAGGGCTTTGGTGTGTTAAGTATTTTACCACGAAGCCCTTTCCCTTGCTTGGGGCATTATTGACTTAAGAATGAAAGTTTGTGTCCCCCCAAGTGCTGTTGGCTGCCATTGTCCCCTACCTGAGAGGATGCTCTGCCTTCTGAGTTACCACTAGCCTTGAGGGTGTGCCCTTGACTTCCAAGCTGACGTGGGTATGCCAGGCCTTGCGGGCTTACTGGCCAGCCTGTGTTGTGCTTCATGAGGCACTAGGCTTGCTGAGACTCCAGCCAGGGCCCTGAGCTCAGATGGCTTTCTCTGCTGTGGCTGGAGCAGCGCCTGTGGTTGAGCTCCCTGGGCAGTAGGAGCCCAGCATCCCTCCTGCCCCTCTGTGGCGTGGAGCATGCTCTCTCTTGAGGGCGCCTGCTATGGGGTACTCTCAGTCATTCCAGGCTCAGGTCTGCACTGAACTTCTGAGACTGTTTTTCTAGTCTAGTGACATTGGAGGCCTCCATCCTCCCTGGGTCCCTGCTGCTCCCAGACTTCCAATGTGTTTTCTATCCCTTCTATCAAGAATATTTAGCTTGGGGCTGGGAAGGTGGCTCAGTAGTAGAGTGCTTGCCTTGCATGCATGAGGTCCTGGGTTCGATTCCTCAGCACCACATAAGCAAAAAGAAAAAAGCCGGAAGTGGTGCTGTGGGTCAAGTGGTAGAGCACTTGCCCAGACCCAGAGTTCAGGCCCCACGACCGGACCACCCCCCTCCAAAAAAAAAAGTGTTTAGCTCCTCGTCTGGAGCATGTGAGGGATGCAGGATATAGCCTTGATTCTGGGGCCACAAACAGGTGTCAGAGCAAAGACAGCCAGGTCCTATAGGAATGATTGGGAAGGCGGGCTATGGATTACGCTCCGGGGTAGAGTATATTCAGTCTGCAAAAGGTTCTGGGTTCATTCCCACATACCAAAGAAAAGTCAAGTTGACATGAAGATGTGTCTGCAGGCAAATTAAATGTACCTGTCTCCACTCTAATGCTGACCTGCCTTCCAGGCTATTCATTTTCTAACTGCTAGAAGTAGATAAGATGCAGTGAGCATCCAGTATCATCTCCCACAGGCAAAACCATGACTGGGGTTTGCCATTGAGCCCTGTAGAGTATTTTGACTGTGTGACAGCACATGGCAGGCCCGATTCCTCTGCACGTCTAGCTCCATGGCTGGTCTTGCGTTCTTGTGCCCTTGGCCTTTCTGCGCTGAGGGAACTGTTGCATTTTAGGCTTCTTTTAGAAAGGAAGCCTGTGGGTTAGAGCACAGAATGACCCAGGGAGTTTATTTAGCTCAATAACTGTTAACTAGAAACTGCCAGGAGATGCTTGCTGCTTTTAGGTCAAAATATTTTCTTTTTTTTTTGGGGGGGGGTCCGGTCGTGGGGCCTGAACTCAGCTCTTCAGCTCAAGGCTAGCACTCTTATCACTTGAGCCACAGCACCACTTCCGGCTTTTTTCTTTTTGCTTATGTGGTGCTGAGGAATCGAACCCAAGGCCTCAGGCATGCAAGGCAAGCGCTCTACCACTGAGCCACCTTCCCAGCCCCTAGGTCAAAGTATTTTCAACATTAAGAATCTATAGTCGGGGGCATTGGTGGCTCACACTTGTTATCCTAGCTACTCAGGAGGCTGAGAGTTCAGGATCACAGTTCAGTGCCAGCCTGGACAGGAAAGTCCATGAGACTCTTATCTCCAATTACCCACCAGAAGTCCACAAGTGACGCTGTGCCTCAGAGTGGGAGAGTGCTAGCCTTGAGCAGAAAAGCTCAGGGACAGCGCCCAGGCTCCACGACCAACCAAAAAAGAATCTATACTTTTTGTTTGTGAAAACTCTCACAGAAATAGATAGATGCCTGTGTCCTGACGCATGTGTATTTCTTTCTGCTAGACATTGTTTGAAAGGGTAGTAGTTGTGTTTATCCCTAAATGTCCAGCCACTGTAGTGTTCTAGAAACTGGCTATGATGGTTGCTTCAGCTAGCATGTCCTCACATGGACACATGAACATTCTTGAAGATGTGCAAAACTGACCGTGGGAAATTGTGAGGGAAGAGAAAAGAAAGAAAGGGAGGACAAAATAGGGTTGTATAAAGCTGTATAAAATGTTAAAGGACAACAATGAGGAATTCAACTGTTACATTTGGGGGCGGGGGGCAGAGAGGCTGGGGCAGGGGTGCTGGCAGGGATGCTCCTAAAGCTTGAACTGGGCACTGTCCATAAGCTGGTCCTCTACCACTTGATCCACAGCTTCATTTCTGGCTTTTTTTTTCTGGTTAATTGGAGATAAGAGTCTCACAAACCTTCCTCTCTAGGTGTCTAACTGTGATACTCAGATATCAACCTCTTGAGTAGCTAGGATTACAGACATGAGTCAACAGCATCTGGCATTATTACACTGTTGAAAGTGCTCAAAGAGAACTCCTTTAGACTCGCATCTCACAGTGATTCTTTTGAATGCCTCTCATCATAGGCACGAGTTGCTGGAGGAAGCCCGAAGGCAAGGCTTACCTTTTGCTCAGTGGGACGGGCCCACAGTGGTCGTATGGCTAGAGGTACTTCCCTTTTATATACCATATTTTGTGAACTGGTTTGTGCACCCTTGCACGGTATGCCTGACATTCTGGTCTCCTTGTCCCCGCCTCCAGCTCTGGGTTGGGATGCCCGCCTGGTATGTGGCAGCCTGCCGAGCGAATGTTAAAAGTGGAGCCATCATGTCAGCTCTGTCTGACACGGAGATCCAGCGGGAGATTGGCATCAGCAACCCCCTGCACAGGCTGAAGCTCCGCCTGGCCATCCAGGAGATCATGTCCCTGACCAGCCCGTCTGCCCCACCCACATCCAGGACGGTAAGCACACAGGCAGCTTGTCCTTGGGAAGAAGGAAGCATCGTCCTTGCGTTGCTCCTGGAGTCTTCAGAACCACACCCAGGGCAGTTCTAGTTTAAAATGTCAGTATTCAGATTTACTGCTACTTGTAGTTTGTGGGAAGTGAGCAGTCTAAAGAACTTAACTTTACAAAATGCTTTGGGCTGAGAATGGTAGCTCAGTGGGTGAACGCTTGCCTAACACACACAAGGCCATCGTTCAGCCTCCACTGGTACACCAAAGCCAAGCTTTTGTGAGAGCTTAATGAGAGCCAGATACGGTGATGTGTGCCAGTAATGAGGTAGCAGCCACTTGGGATGCCGAGGTAGGGGAGATTAAGAGTTCAAGGCCATACAGTGAATTCTTGCCCAGAAAGACCTCCTAAAAAAAATAAGAAGTTAGGAGCCAGGCTCTGGTGGCTCTCGCCTGTAATCCTAGCTGCTCAGGAGGCTGAGATCTGAGGATCACAGTTTGAAGCCAGCCCAGGCAGAAAAGTCCATGAGACTTTTCAAGTTAACCAGCACAAAAGCCCAAAGTAGTACTGTGGCTGAAATGGTAGAGTACTAGCCTTGAGCACAAAAGCTCAGAAACGGCATCTGGGCTGAGTTCAGGCCCCAGAACTGGTACCTGTCTTACTCTTCCCGAATTCTCGCCCCTTCCCCCCCCCCCCAGAAAAAGCTAGAAGTTGATAAATTTAAATTTGGGTGTAGCTGGGAGCTGGTGGCTCACGCCTGTCACCCTAGCTACACAGGAGGCTGAGATCTGAGGATCCTGGTTCAAAGCCAGCCGGTCAGGAAAGTCCATGAGACTTTTACTTCCAATGAACCACCAGAAAACTAGAAGTGGCGCTGTGGTTCAAGTGGTAGAGCACTTGCCTTGAGCTGAAGAGCTCAGGGATAGCACCCAGGCCCAGAGTTCAAGCCCCATGACTGACCCTAAAAATAAAAAATTGGATCTATCAAAGTTGAGTCAGTGTAAGGACTTTTCAAGGAAGGAAAAAATTAAAAATTACTATTTATGTGTGTACTTTAACATTTTCTGCTTGTTTTATCATTCATAATTAGGTTTTTTTTTTTTTTTTTTTTGGCCGGTCATGGGGCTTAAACTCTGGGCCTGGGCGCTGTCCCTCAGCTCAAGGCTAGGACTCTACCACTTGAGCCACAGCGCCACTTCCGGCTTTTTCTGCTTATGTGGTGCTGAGGAATCGAACCAAGGGCCTCATGCATGCAAGGCAAGCACTCTACCACTGAGCTACCTTCTCAGCTCCTCATAATTAGTATTTGCACTGTAATATAAGGATATTGGCTAATCAAATTTTAGAGTATAAATGCTTTTATTTTCTGTGTGCCAGTCCTGAGGCTTGGGCACTGACCCTGTGCTTTTTTTGTTCAATGCTAGCACTTTACCACTTGAGCCACAGTTTTACTTCCAGCTTTTTGGTGATTAATTGGAGATAAGAGTCTCATCGACTTTGCTGCCCATGCTGGCTTCAAACTGTGATCTCAGCCCCCTGAGTAGCTAGGATTATAGACATGAGCCACTATCACCTGGCTAAATTTTTATTAAATCATAAATATAGGGCCAGAGCCCCTAGTGCTCCTTCCCTGGGGGCTGTATCCTGCTCCGACTGTAGACTGGTCTATTCTACTTCATAAAAATAGGATGTGCACTGAGGAAAGTGAACTATACAACTCATGGGAGCAGATGGGAGATGGTCTAGGAGAGAGCAAGGGAAGGGAAGACACTGTACAAAAGGAAAGATACTCATTACCGGACTCCTAATTGTAATCTCTCTGTGTATCACCTTTATATAAAGTAAAAAAAAAAATCTGAACTTTTTTTTTTTTTTTGGGTCCGGTTGTGGGGCCTGAACTCTGGGCCTGGGCGCTGCCTCTCAGCTCTTCAGCTCAGCTCAAGGCTAACACTCTACCACTTGAGCCACCGCGCCACTTCCGGCTTTTTTCTATTTGCTTATGTGGTGCTGAGGAATCGAACCCAGGGCCTCAGGCATGCAAGGCAAGCGCTCTACCGCTGAGCCACCTTCCCAGCCCAAAATCTGAACTTTTTAAAAAATGTATTTATATTTTTACTGCCCTGCTCCCTAGAGCTTGGCATAAACTTTCTTTGGACTGTGGGCCCCAGAATGGCCTACCACAAGTACATGTGCCACCAGTTCGGGCGGCCGCGAGCTGCCTGATCTGTGTAACCCTCACACTGTGCCACCACTATTTTTATTTCTTTTTTCAAACTTTTAATTTTTAGTTTTTGCCAGTCCTAGGGCTTGAACTCAGGGCCTGGGTACTGACTCTGAGCTTCTTTTTGCTCTCTCTGCCACTTGAGCTAGTGCGCCACTTCTGGCTTTTTCTGTTTATGTGATACTGAGGAAGTGAACCCAGGGCTTTATGCATGTTAGGCAAACATTCTACCACTAAGCCACATTCCCAGCCCAACCATTATTTTCAGGACAGAAATTAATCTTTAAACATATCACAATGCATATTTATTTGTTAATATATTTTGTACTATATATCGTAACTATTTGAAATAAAGTTTCTATGAAAAATTTTAAAAAAGAAAAGGTTTGTGGCCCAGTCATGATAGCGTATCTACTCCCTCCTTCTAGTGTATGGAAATTCAGTTCTCAATACAAGGGTCTATTAAAAGAAAAAAATACGGAAGTGGCGCTGTAGCTCAAGTGGTAAAGCGCTGGCCTTGAGCTGAAGAGCTGAGGGACAGCGCCCAGGCCCAGAGTTCAAGCCCCATGACCGACAAAAAAAAAAGGAAAAAATACAAGCTGGGTGCCATTGCTTAGGTCTTTAATCCTAGCTACTTAGAAAGCTGAGATGTATGGATCGATGTTTGGAGCCAGCCCAGGCAGACAAATCTAAGAGACTCTTATCTCAATTAAGCCACAAATAGCTAAAAGTGGAGGTATGTCTTAAGTGGTGGAGCACCAACCTTGGGTAGAAAAGCTCAAGCAGAACTGTAGGCCCTGAGATCAAGCCCCAGTACCAGCAAAAAAGAAGGTGGGGTCGGTGGGGGTGGGAAATAGACTCATCCTCATGATGTTAGGTAATGTTTAAGTAGGACTTAAGGAATCAGATGTTTGACCTCTTGAAATGCTTTGTGGCATCCACAAAGTGCTGCTGATAACATAGGAAAGACTGCTCACTGCTCCCAGAGCGTTCTGATTCTTCTCAAGCAGGAGTTTTTCCTGAGAAAATGAGGGGAGCTGGGCATAGTGTTTCACATCTGTAATTCCTGCATTCAGGAAACAGAGACAGAAAGGTGGAGAGTTTGAGGCTAGACTGGGCTATATATTGTCTTTTTGCTTTTTATTCTCTCCTTTAAAATAGACTCCAAAATAATAAAGCAATGGTACTTAAGTCAGGTTATGAG